AAATAAGACAGAAGAAAATATCCAGACAAAATCACAGAAAGAAAGTAGAAAATTTTAAAAAGAATGTAAGACATGAGAAACAGTATAAAGGTCTAACATATATGTAAATGGAGCCCTAGAGGGAGAGGAAAGGTACTGTGGCTGAGAATCTTCTAAAACTGATGAAAAACATCAAGCCACAGATTCAAAAGTATTGTAAACCCCATTTAGGTTAAACAACAAATCTGTCATATTTAAATGACAGAAGACCAGCCTGGCTGGAAGATGGAAAAGAAGGAGAGGGAAAGCTCTTGGTGATGAGGATGGAGGCACTAGATCAGGCAGGGCCTTATAGGACATGGTAATGAGTTTGGATTTTATTCTAATTACAATTAGAATCCATTTGAGGATTTTACTAAGGAGAGAGATGATCTTCTAAGATCAGTTTTGCTGCTGTGTAGAGGATGCATTGCAGATAGACCACGTAGGTGGTGGGGATGGTTCAGGTGAGGAATGCTTGTATTGGCATGGAGCTATAACCACAGAGACGGTATGATGTGGGATGTGTTTCTGGAGGTAGACCCCCACTGATAGATTGGATGTGGTAAATGAAGGGAAAAGAATTGAGGATAACTCTTAGACCCTTGCCTGAGCATATAGGAAGGTAATTGTGCTATTTATTGAAATGGCAAAAGCTCAGAGTGAAATAATTTGGGGGACCGATAAGCAGAAATCAATTTTGGCCATGTTAAATTGGAGATGTCTATGAGATACCAAGGAGGAATGTCCAATAGTCATTTAAAGATACCAGTCTGGCACTCAGGGGAGAAGTCAGACTAGAGACGGAGACATGAAAGTTACCAGCATAGTTTCTATTTAAAGCTACAGACCTGGGACGCCTGGTTGGCTTAGTCAGTTAAGTGTCCAACTCTTGGTTTCGGCTCAGGTCATGATCTCAGGGTTGTGAGATGGAGCACCGTGTCCTGCTCCACACTGAGAGTGGAGGCTGCTTGGGATTCTCTCTCCCCTTCCCCCTGCTCATTCTGTCTCTCTCTCAAAAAAAACAAAAAAACAAAACAACAAAACAAAACAAAAAAAACCCTACAGACTTGAATGGGGAAAGTGTAGACATAGAAGACAAGAGGTCCTGAACCAAATCTTGGATCACTCTAACATTCAGAAGGAGTATAAATTACTGTTAGCAGGAGAGGAGCAAGAATTCATATGTATCACTTCTTACATCCTTTTGGCCAGATCTTGGTCACACTGCCATAGCACAATACCATATTATTTCACTCATATGTGGAATTTAAGAAACAAAACAGATGAACATAGGGGAAGGGAAGGGAAAATAAAATAAGATGAAAACAGGGAGGCAAACCATAAGAGACTCTTAACTCTAGGGAACAAACTGAGGTTGCTGAAGGGGAGGAGTTTGGGGGGATGGGATAACTAGGTGATGGGCATTAAGGAGGGCATTTGAAGTAAGGAGCACTAGGTGTTGTATGCAACTGATGAAGCACTGAATTCTACCTCTGAAACTAATGAAACACTATATGTTACTTAAATTGAATTTAAATAAGAAATTTTTAAAAGATTTTATTTATTTATTTGACAGAGAGAAACAGCAAGAGAGGGAACACAAGCAGGGAGAGTGGAAGAGGGAGAAGCAGGCTTCCCGCCGAGCAGGGAACCCAATGTGGGGCTAGATCCCAGGACCCTGTGATCATGACCTGAGCCAAAGGCAGACACTTAACAATTGAGCCACACAAGCACCCCTAAATAAAAAAAATTTTTTTTTAAATGTTGTCATTATTTTGGGTAGCCATATACCCACCTAAAAATACAGTTTTCTATTACTTTGGAGAGCAGGGGAATGGATAGTTGGTGTGCAACTAGCGTTCTTTCTACAGAGGATGAATACAGGAATAGGTCCAGCAAACGAGAGTGAGAAGGAGCAGCCATTGAGGTAGGAGTAAAACCAGGCAATTGCAGCACCATGGAAGGTTAGAGAAAAAAAAAATGATGTTGGAAAGGAGGTGGAGTGCCCAAGCCTTTCAGATGCTGTTGGGGGGTTAAGTAAGATGCAGACAGAGCCTTTGGGCTTTAACAAAAATGGACATCATTGGTAATCTTAAGAACCATTGCAGAGGGAAAATGAGGACAAAAGCCTATTTGAAGTAGATCGACTAGAGAGTGGGATATAGCAAATTGAGAAGTCTTTCAAGGAGTTTAGCTGTAGAGGGGAGCAAAGAATTAGCTAGAAGAGACAAGAATCATCTGGAGAAAGTTTTGTTTTATTTAGTGAAGTGTGCTATTAAGGGATATGATAATAACCTAATAAAGAAGAATAATCCAATAATTCATAATAGGGTAGATTTAGTGATATGGCCACGCCAGACATCAATGCGACAGGAAAGGGCAGCAAATATTCATGAATAATAGAGTTTACCATAGATTGCTGCCCATCTTATTTAAATTCACCACTTTTTTTTTTTTTTTTTTTTGGCTGGGTACATGGTACATGTACATTGATGGTACATGACAAGGTAGAGCTCCCCAAGTCCCTCCCCTTATTAATGGGGTCTGGGATGGAAACTGTATAGAGGTCAGGAAATTCTCAGTGTGTTGGGGGATGAGTTGGGGCAAGGACTCCCTAGCAGCTGAGGGCCTCTCCTCCTCTTGCTCTTGCTGGGGCTGATGGTCCAGGGGGCTCTTACTCCTTGGAGGCCATGTGGACCATAACGTTCACCACCTGGTTGCTGTAGCCAAATTCATTGTCATACCAGGAAATGAACTTGACAAAGCGGTCTTGGAGAGCAATGCCAGCATCAAAGGTGGAAGAGTGGGGTGTCACTGTTAAAGTCGCAGGAGACAACCTGGTCCTCAGTGTAGCCCAGGATGCCCTTGAGGGGGCCCTCTGATGCCTGCTTCACCACCTTCTTGATGTCATCATATTTAGCAGCTTTCTCCAGGCAGCAGGTCAGATCCACGACTGTCACGTTGCAGGTGGAGATATGGAAGGCCATACCAGTGAGCTTCCCATTCAGCTCAAGGATGACCTTGCCTACAGCTTTAGCAGCACCAGTAAAAGCAGGGATAATGTTCTGGGCAGCCCCTCAGCCATCGTGCAACAGCTTTCCAGGGAGTCCCTCACAGTCTTCTGGGTGGCAGTGATGGCATGGAGTCATGAATCATGAGTCCCTCCATGATGCCAAAGTTGTCAAGGATAGGGCCAAGCAGTTGGTGGTGCAGGAGGCATCGCTGACAGTCTTGAGGGAGTCGTCATACTTCTCATGGTTCACGCCCGTCACAAACATGGAAGCATCAGCAGCAGGGGCAGAGATGATGACCCTCTTGGCCCCACCCTTCAGGTGAGCCCCAGCCTTCTCCATGGTGGTGAAGACCCCAGTGGACTCCACAGCACACTCAGCACCAGCATCACCCCCTTTGATGTTGGCTGGATATCACTCCTGGAAGATGGAGATGAGTTTTCCATCGATGACGAGTTTCTTGTTCTCAGCCTTGACTGTGCCATTGAATTTGCTGTGGGTGGAATCATCCTGAAACATGTAGACCATGTATTTGAGGTCAATGAAGGGGTCACTGATGGTGACAGTTATGTTTTGCCAGAGTTAAAAGCAGCCCTAGTGACCAGGCACCCAATAAAGCCAAATCCGTTTACTCTGACCTTCACCACTGTGTCTCAGGGACACGGCTGGCACTGAACCATAAGATGTGGCTGTCTGTCAAACAGGGAGGAGCAGAGAGCTTAAATTCACCACTTTAAAGATGGAAATGGTATAAAAAAGAATGAACTCTTAGCATTCACGACAACATGGATGGACCTAGAGGGTACTGTGCTAAGTGAAATGTCAGAGAAAGACAAATACCATATGATTTCACTTATATGTGGAATCTAAAAAAACAAACAAACAAAAGCCAGAAACAGAATCTAAGTACAGAGAACAACCTGGGGATTGCCAGAGGGGAGGGGGATGAGGTGAAGGGGATTAAGAGGTACAAACTTCCAGTTACAAGATAAATAAGTCACAGAGATGAAAAGTACAGCATAGGGAATATAGTTACTAATTTTGTAATCGTGTTGTATGGTGACAGATGGTGACTACACTTACCATGATGAGCATTGCATAATGTTTAGAATTGTCAGATCACTGTGTTGTACACCTAAAACTAATTTTTTAAAAGTGGGTAGGGAGAGGAGATTTTGACCCTAATTGTAATGGCAAACACACATACAGAGTATATTGTGTGCTGGGCTTTGTTCTAAGTATTTTACACTTAATTCTCACAACTGTGCCATGTCCTAAATCCAGAGATTTGGCAAATTAGTGTACAGTTATATATTTCAAATAAAATGTTAAGATGCCTGTATATTATTTGTTATTATTTTTCACTTTTGCCAGTCTTGTTCACGTTAGTTAAGAGGGATTCTACTATACTAACTGGATCAGTACTATATGTGTTTATATATATATATTTATATTAATGTGGACAATATCATATAGTAGAAAAAAGTAAGATATAGAACAGTGTGTAGTATGGTACATTTGAGTAAAAGGCATCTTTTGGACTGTTCCTAAAAATTGGTAAGAGTAGCTGTCTCTGGGGTAGGTGTTTCAACTCTTCTTAAAATCTTTCCACAATGTCATTCATGTGCTTACTAAGTAAGTAATTTAACATTTCTTTGGTGATTTGGATTCTAACAGTGTGTCTAGGATACTTTTTGGCAATTTCTTCTTCAGAATAGATTAAAAATTAGCTTGTCTTCTTACCATTTGCCTTTTTCAGATTTAAGTTAAATTCTCAATTAAAATTCTGATAATTTGGGGGATGGGGGTAGGGTAGCCATCCAAATAGTTGAATTTAAGATCATTAGAAATTTACTATCAATATTTGCAAGCATGTAAAACTGTAAATACTTCAGGATTATTTGATGTATGTTTAATTTTAAATCTTTAATCATATGATATCCTTACAGTGTTTTTTATCTTTGGCAGGAATTGAAAGGTGGAAAAGCTTATGCAAAGGTAAGTAGATGTTCTTTTACTCTTTTGGAACTTTTAATATCACTCACTGCTATTTATAATCTTAAAAATCAAATGGTTTGCTCCTCTAATTGCTATTCAAGTAGGCTGTTTTTATTTTTTTAAGATTTTATTTGTTTATTTTAAAGAGTGCAAGCGGTGGGGTGGGGCGGGGAGGAGCCGAGGGAGAGGAACAAGCAGACTTCCCGCTGAGCGCAGAGCTGGAAGGCTGGGCTCCATCCTACAACCCAGAGATCATGACCTGAGATGAAATCAAGAGTCAGACGCTTAACCAGCTGAGCCACCCAGGCCCGCAAGTTGGCTGTCTTTAAATAAAGCAACTTGGAGGTTGAAAAGTTGGATCCAGCAATAAATTATAGGCACATTCTTTCTAAAAGCTGATTATGGGATGTTATTCTTACATTTCTGCTTCCCTACTAGAAGATGATCTCTGGTTCCATTAAGCAATAGCATCTGTTAATTCAGTCTCCCCTGGGAAGTATTACTAATCCCACCTCCCCTCACGCCCCGCCCCCCCAGTGGAATAGGACCTCTCCTCTGTGCTCTCTTAGCATTCTGTAGTACATGATCACTACTGTCCTTTATACTTTTACTAGCTATATGGAATTACTAGTAATTAGTGTGCTCACCTTTTTGCTAAATAGAAGGAATTAGTAATACTGCCAGAAACGCACATACTCCTCTTTTATTTTCAGTCTCTGATGGTATCTCCATCAATTCAGTCATCTGAGCCAGGACACCAGCTTAACCATCAAGTCTGCCTAACTCCTTAAAAGCACTTGGTTGCAGTGTCAGTTAGGATGCTCTTTACTACAAGTAACAGAATACCCTCCTCACCTAGAGGTGGTTTTTTTGTTTTTTTTTTTAAATTTCACAAAGCAAGTAGATACGAAACAGAGCTGCAGATGCGAGATAGAGCTGCTCCAGGATTAGTTAAGCCACTGACTGAAGGACATCATCAAGAACTCATGTTACTTTTCTCTTTTCATTCTTCCATTCTCTGTGTGATGACTTTATCCTTGCCTAGCTCTTCTCATGGTCACCAGGTGGATTTTTAGTCCACCCATTCACATATGACAAAATCCAGCTGCTTCTCCACAAATGGCTTTCTTTGAGTGAGAAAACTTTTCCTAGTCAGCCCTCAGAGGATTTCCCCATGCCTTTCATTGGCCACAACTGGATCATATGCCCACTCCTATACCAGTCATGGGCAATAGGAATGGATTGCCATGGCTAGCTTAGACTTATCACAGTTTAACAATGAGCTAGAGGTTGGCCCACTTTCGTTTTGCACATGGATGAGCTAAGGGTGGACACTTGAATAAAATCAGGGCTCTGCTAACAAGGAATATTAGAACATTGGATGATGGTGGGGAGGCAAAAAACAGGGTCTGCTGCAACTGACAAATCTTGATTTCTCCCTTCTCATTTAAAAACCATCCCTTCTCTCCATTCACAAGGCCAGTGCCATAGGTTATGCCTTCATTATTTCTTATTTAAAACCTGTACTGGCCTCCTATCTTTTATTCTCTGCCTCTGATTTCTCCCTCCATCCATCCTTCGTACTATTGCCATATGATCACTCTGAAATTTGAACATGATCATTCCTCCACTTTTAGTCCTTCAGCTATCTATTGCCCGTCAAGGAAAATGAAATGAAAAATCTTTAACCCAGCATTTAGACCCATCTTGGACGCCATCTGTGAATGCTCACACTCACTTATTCTTATGCTTCAGACTTACTGCCCTCAGAAACTTCCTGGAGTGTACCGTGCTATTTTAGCCTCTTTGCCTTATGACTTGATATTTTCCCTGTTATGCATGCGCTTCCCCCTTCCCTTGTCCTGTCAACTCATACAGCATTAGACACTCAGTTTAGTCATCCCTTCCCCTGAGAAATTTTCTTTTCTTTTCTGTCTTGTAACTGTGCCTTCTTCTATCCCAGCACTTAAACTTTTTTATGAGAATGTATTTTCTTTCTATCTTCTCTCATTTAACTATGAGCTCCTTGAGACTAGGAATGATTTACATTCCCAATGCCTAATGTTACCTGAAATGCAGATGCTCAGAATTATTTGCCAAATGAAGTAATATCTACCACAGATATAACTAATAGCTATGTAGATACACCATTTTAACGAGACTGTTATCTCAGTTAAAGCCAAAGAGAAAATCATAAGGAAATATGGACTCTCTGGTGCCTCACCAAGTCCTGATCTGTCCTGTTCATCACTGTTTTGCAGTGTCCAGAACAGGGCCTCGCACACAAAAGGTGCTCAGTAAATGTTGACCTGCAGCCTGAAACATCACATTGACATACCCCACCTTTTAATATGCTTTCTTAATGGTGACTGACCAGATTGGTTTTTTTTTTTTTCTAATTATGCTTGGTGACACTGTAATACCAGCATTCTAACAGTGGATGGTAAGCCAATGGGCCAGTTTTTGCTCAACAAATATGTATTAACTGCCTACCATATGGCAGCATCGTTCTTGGCGCTGTTATATTCTTATGGAAGGTTGGAGGAGACAGTAAACAAAATAAATATGAAATGTGTATGTATGTGATATGATGACAGCTACTAAGGAGAGGAACAAGGTAGGCAAGGGGTAAAGGGGGACAGGGTAGGGGAGGAAGGGAGGAGTCAGGGCATTAAGAATGGTCATGGAAGGCCTCTTAGGTGGTATTTGAACATAGACCTGAATGGAGTGAGGAGGAAAGCTACAAGAAGATCTAAGAATGTGTCAGGCAAAAGAACAATAAGTGTTAAAGGCCTTGAGGCGGTCTTGGCATGTTCAAGGAAAAGGACATTGTGGCCAGGAGAGTAAATTAGGAAGAGAATGGGGAAGTGAAGTTGACAAGGTGGTGGCCAAGGATGAAGGGACCATAGACAATCAACGTAGACAACTCTTTCAAGGAGTTTTGCTATAAAAGCAGAAAAGTGGTCCAACAGACTGGAGAGAGATGTGGGATGAGGTTTTCTTTTGTTCATTAAGATGGTAAAAACTCCGGCATGTTTGTGTGCTAATGGGAATGGTTCGACAGAGAAGGGAAACTTGAGAGTGCAGAAGAGAGGGAGGAATTCCTGAAGCAGTGAGGGCAGGGGGAGAGTCGTTGGCCTCAGATCGGAGCACAGCCAGTTCACCCACAGCACGCAGAGTGCAGCTGCAGGCAGGTGAGTGCATGTGGCCAGCAATAAGAGCTTCTGGAAGTTAAGTGCTCTTTTGATTGCTTTTAGCTTCTGAGTGAATTAGGAAGCAAGGCATCAGCAGAGAGTTTGGATGGAAAGGAGGTGCTAGAGGTTTAAAGGGAAGGGGTAATGTAGGAAATACAGCCTTCAGATTATGTGTAATCAAATAGCCCCATGAATCTTCACATGCTCATTGGTATGTGGCTTTGCCCTAGCTACATCTGGGCTTTTCTGCTGATCTGTCGGACCCCTAAAAGGCAGTAAGGCTAGAGTAACCCTGTGAAAATTAGGTAGCTGTCACCCATGGCTGATGTGTTCTGACTTATTATTGCGTTTAGGAATCATGGCCTTTCAACTGGTCTGTAAGTTCTTATTCTCCATCCTTTTTGTACCAGTTAAAAGCTACTAAAATAATGCTGCAGCCTTTAGTTAAAATCTTCATCTAAAATGCCTTCTTATGTGCCCAGTATGTGTCTTAAAATCTTAAAGCAGGCAGCTTAAAATCATATCAGTGTTTGAAACAGTTGGTACTTTTTATTAGGCATTCAGGGAGATGTGCTTAATTGCAAACTCAAAAACATTTTTTGTTGTTTTTAATAGAAGACTCCATATGCATTTAGTGATGTAGAATAGAACAGACTTAGTTTGTAAAAAAAAAAAAAAATCGGGCATATTTCTTGTACCGCTTAGAAACGAGAAATAGGGGTTAAACAACATCAGAGGACAGAGCGCGGGACGATCTTCGGTAGCTGCAGAAAATGGGGACTGTACATGGGTAGTAATGAGAAGGAGGAACAGGTTTGAGCTAAACTTTTGGAGAGCAGCATAGAAGGTTGTTGAGGGGCATAGCTTTGGGAAAGGGGAAAAGGTTTCATAAAAAGGGATTTAGCTTAAGTGTGATCAGCAAGGCAAATGTTGTGGAAGGTGGTGAAGGAGAAGGGGCTTATACCAAAGAAAACTTAAATCATTCTATTTCTTGCATGGAAAGTAAGAATTTAATAACCTGCAACTGTCTGCAGTCACCAGTGGTTAACTGGGAATGGAGCCAGAATCAGAACAGGGAGAAGAAAGTCTAATCAGTTTTCTTTATGAATATGCAAATGATCATGATTGGCCTGCTGCTATTTCCCACAGTGTGGGGTGAGTACCACTGCTACTTGCAATGATTTTAATTGTTTGATAAACATTATTTTTACTTTAACAGTTACGTATTTCAAAGTGTACAGAAGAAATATATATATTAAGCACATCAAATCTGTGATTTCAGAGATCGCATTGCTTAAGCCAAGAATAGAATAGGTAATACATTTTTACAAAAGAAGCGAGCCAATCTAAAGGCACACATTAAGCAAATAATAGAGTAGATATTGTTAAGATGGCCAAAATTGCAAATGACTGAACTTTGAGAAAACTTGTCTAGAACATGGATTGAATATTTATTTTAAGGAGAATATGATAGGAGCCTAGTAGATATTCTATTAATATAATTCCCTTTCTTTTCATAGCTGGGCTTTGCAGATCTAAACCTGGCAGAGTTTGCTGGATCAGGAAATACCACTCGTCGCTGTTTACTGGAAGGCTATGATACCAAAAATACAAGACAGGATAATTCCATTCTTAAAGTAAGCACGTTTTGAGATTTGCATGTCAACAAATGAGAATCTCTGCCTTTAAATAAGCATGGGTAGGGCACCTGGGTGGCTCAGTTGGTTGAGTGACTGCCTTCGGCTCAGGTCATGATCCTGGAGTCCCGGGATCGAGTCTCGCATCGGGCTCCCTGCTTGGCGGGGAGTCTGCTTCTCCCTCTGACCCTCCTCCCTCTCATGCTCTCTGTCTCTCATTCTCTCTGTCTCAAATAAATAAATAAAATCTTT